GTTAGCAAATATGAGTTCTCGTGCAAGAAAATTAGAATTCGATATAATCATGCAAAAATGAACGAATATGGAACGTGACATAGATAAATATCGTTAACGAGAAGGCAGTATGAACAGCTTGCCAAATTCCGTTCTTCTGGTTCTTCTTATCAAGCATTTCGTGAGTAAAGTTGGTGAAAAGAATTTTAATTAATTAGCTATCAAAATTAATTAATTAGCATATAGATAATTTTGTTACGTTACATTATTCATTAAAAGACATTGTTAAATATTCAGAAGGTAGAAATAATCTCGCAATTAAATTAATAACTTTATTCACTCATATCTTTGCAATTATGTTTATAACGTTTATTTCAAAAATTTAATATAAAACATTGTATTAAAAAAAAAATTAAAATATATCAAGATATTATATTAAATCGAAATATTATATATTACATTGTTACTTTGTATTTGTTTTGAGGATGTACGTAAATTAAAAGCGCAGAACCTTTTTACTACTTCCATTTCGTTACAACTTTATAAATGACAGTAATATCATAAAATGTCATGAATGTTAAATATCTCTCGAAATAAAATTATTCAGTTTACTTGCAAATGTCACACAATTAAATTTGTAGGGGATAAACTTCTATCGTTAACTTAAAAAATAAAAGAATGACATTTTTTTTTTTTAGAGCTAGAGCAGTTCGACTTTTCTATGAAAGCAGCGTCTAGACAGCGTAATGTTTCTTGACTTATACTTTGCATCTCTGTAATTACTTGCTGCTAGAATAAAGTCAAGAACTGCTGCTTCTAATCCCAGTGCGATTCGAGGTCACGAAGGTCGATACAAGTTTAGTTTCAATGGCGCCAGCACATATTGGGATCAACTCTTAAAAATCATGCCAAAAGTGGTTTATACTAGACTTCGTCTAGTAAACTTGCTCCAATATGTATATGCCATTTAAAATTTAGATTGTGCTTAATTAAGATACAAATTATATCTCTACAGCCACGATACTTGATCTCAAATAACAAGTATTACGTTGCGAAGGCCAATTGCCAATATTCTAATGTCGAAAGCACATAAATTCTATCAACGTAAGATTATACACGTCTCGAAAAAGGAAAACAATATTTTAAAACCTTTTTTTCTTCATTCAATATTCACTATTCAATCTTTAAAAACGAGATGATTTTCCACGCTCATCTGACATTTTTGCATAAAAATAAAAAATTTAATCTATTGATGAATTGTACCGTAAAGAAACAATATTTCATTTTTCAACGATTTTAATATATCATACAAACTGCTTGACCTGAATCCTATTTCGTAGTTTTTATCTTTTTTCTTTGTACTTTTTCTTTATGTAATACTGTTTTGCATTTCGACTTGTAAATGAAAATTAGAAAGTGTAAACTGAAAAAGTGAAAATAATCAATATTAACTTGGTCAACAAAATCTTCATTCTAAGGAAAATACTTCATGGAAATATATATGGAAAAAAAATGTTTCTGATTTACAGCTAGTTCTGATTAGCTGAAATTGCCTTAGCTATTGTAGCTATGAATTTGCTAATACATACAAAGAATTTGCTGCTGTAGCTAATATAAGGACATGATAGCAAAATATGCATGTCTGTTACAGATCGATTTATTTAGCAATATGAAGTTAGTTGTCACAGTTCGTGTAAAAGAAAATTGTCTCAGTTAAATACGGTTTGCTGAAACTATACTTGTTACCAAATTGTCTGTTACACAGAAAACATTTGCTGCAATACATCGACATAATAGCAAAATGCTTGTCTGTTACAATGATAATATTTAGGCCTCACAGCTAATGGAAATTAGACCTCGCAGATACGACATTAGGTATCCACATAATGCTACTGAATTTAGCTGCCATACCTAATTTTTAGCTGTGGCAGCTAATCTTTCTTTTCCGTGTACCGTTTTCTTTACAAATTGTTTCTTATTTAAAGGTTAATAAATTTTCCTGACAACATTATTGTTATAGCACGGTCTAAATCTCCTCACTAGAGTCGTGAATAATGTAAAATGTTACAAGCTCGCTGACCAGCAAGAAACTTGTAAACAATATTTAACCACATTAATTTTATAGCTGAGTCGTAATGGTCAGCATGTTGTCAGATAGAAACTGATTGTTAATTAATTATGAAACGCATCTTAACAGAGTAACTATTAGTATTAAACAACTTATAGAAATTTTATTTAGATTAATGGAACTAATGTTAACTTTATGTTAATAATTTAAAAAAATTAAAAACAATTAATTTCAACTAAATATAAAAATGTGTACTATTTAAAACTTGTTTATTAATACTATTAAGAAATTTTTCAAAGTTTAGAAGTTTAGAAATTTTTCTTGTTTAATGATGCAAAATAATTGGCATCATAATCGGTGATATCATCTTTATCGTCCTTCAGAGATATAATGATATATTTTTCTCGTAACCAAACAAAGATTTTTAATATAATCTGTTGCGCTTCTCGGCGAAAAATGCAATTAATGGATTAAAGTAGATAGATTCAGAAAGGAAAATCGACTCCCAATTGAGATTATTCAATATGTGTGATTTCAGATTGCATAATCGAATCGATAGACAAGCAATGTCTACAGTCTTATTTATCATGGAGAATATTAAAATCGTTTCGCCAATGTCCTTGTCATCAATAAACCGTATTATCGATGGCAGCTTGCTGTCGGCCGTGATTGAAATTCGGGATCGGCAATATGACGTAAGTTCCTATATTCACAGTCGGAATTGTAATTACAATCTGAACTTTGTCGACTCGATCTCGCATGGTCGACTGCAATCTGTCGTCAGGCTCGGCCTCCACGAGTAGGCTAAGTTTCTGCAAGGGCACGACATCGATAACTCTGCGTCACCGCAAAATGCGGAACAAATGCACGATCTAATTTTTTTTTCACAGCAAACGGAAAAACCAACAAGAGTCTTGCGTTGCTTCTTCGACGTAGCTCTCGAAATTACCCTAATGTAACCGCGATCGTAAATTGGGACTCGTTCTCCCAATTTATGCTCCTGATAGAACGAAGGATTCTCTTACCCTGACTATAAAATTTGAATAAAGCCATTCGTAAATTGTGCACTGCCTTCCCGCCCGACTTAACGCATTCAACCGGAAGCAGGGGCAAGGGTGTAAGAAGAAGAACAGCCAACCAGAGGACGGCTACCCACATAGTTCAAGGAGTAAATGTATTCGAGTGTTGGGCGCTCCGAAAAGATATCCTAAGGTTTGTTCGCGTCGCATGCTCCAACATGTTCCAATATGCCCTACCATAGCTCTTACTCACTCCAACGCGCTTGATAGAGTGAGTAGGAACTATGGTAGGAGCATGTTGGAGCATGTTGGAGCTTGTGGCGCGAACAAACCTCAAGATAGAACCGAAGACAAGAAAGAGCTACCGGACTGGTCACGATGGCGACGGAAACGCACTTTCAGGGTGGAACACGCACTGCGTAGAAACCACCCCTCTACCTCGGGACTGTTACCGTGTCTGGTTCCACGAACGAAAACTGGGTCACGTACACTCGTACTGTCATGCGAGCTCGAGACTAGGAGTCTTGTGTGCGCGCACGCGCGTGTACACGTGTAAGTGGCCGCGAATTTACGTGTATACACGTTTCGCCACTAGTTCTCACCCCGTAGAACGTCCGGGATGCGCGACGTCAATCCTCATGCGTCCGGGTAGGGCACTGTGGCGCGTGATACGAACGGGGATGGATGAATCCTCGATATCGAAATTCCTGCCACGGTATCGTCCAGTAGAGTCAGGATCGAGATCGAGAGAGAAAGAGAGGGGGAGAGAGAACTTTTGAATTAGATTTAAACGACAGTTTAATGCCGACCCGAATTTTCATTAATGGCATCTCGTGACTGGCACGAATCTGCACGGAACAGTTTTAATCAGTATATCCCTCTGTCCCATCTTTTTCCCTTACCCTCTCAATCGTCACTCTTATCGGATTTTCTTTAAAATCAGTTTTGTACTTTCTTCGGCGTATGACCTATTTAGCCGAATTGTATTTCATTTTCTGGAAATCCGATTACAAATATAATTTAATAGTATTGCAGCGGAAGAATTTTATCGAGTCTGATAAATGTCTTGCTGTGAGCAGACTTTAAATAGGGAAATTTTTGGATGGATCAAAAAATTGTTCTGTTACCGTATTAGATATAGTTGTAAGATTGAAATAATTTATGAATGTACATGGCTATATTCAATTGTCAAACAAGTTCAACATAAATCATTAATATTATTCTATATCGAATAGTTTCAGAATTTTATCTAATGAATATTATTCAAATGATTTGAGAAGAATATAATTCACAAACACATAACTTTGGAAACAAAAGACTCGACAATATATTTATCAACACGGAAAGTCGTACTTGGTTTACTATTGTTATTTGTCCTTGAGTAACAATAGCTGTATAAGAACAACTAAAGCATTATTATTATATTTGAAAATTAATTTGAAATTCTTTATATTTCACACAATACAGATTATTATCTTCTTAATACTTCTATCTTTTTTTGCAAATAAATTTTTTTCTGTGTTTGACAGTGTCATAGAAATGTTCTTCTTTAATATAAATCAAAATTAAATACATAAATTTCGAAATTAAAATATAGATAATATGGATAGTAAAATAAAATAATAAGAAATAGAGAGAAAATAACTGTAAAAATAAATTAAATGAAAAAATCAATTTCTTTTTCAAAAAATCATTTTTAATTATTTTGCATTTATTGAATGTTCTAATAATCAAATCAAATCGATTCATGGATGGAAAACGCACGCAAGGGATATTAATAATATAGGTCACGTTGCAAGTCACTATACAAATATTATTGACGGTGTATATGCTTCTATATATTGGAATTATATTTCTCGATTATCAGTGTAATGATCAAACAGTCCTGAAACGCCGGGACACAATAATTATAAAAAGAAAATAGAAAATCTCACCAGGATACGTCCAGTGGTGGTCTGTCCGGAAATCAGCTCGCCGGCCCAGTCCTTGGCCTCGGTCATAAAAGTCCCCTCGAACTCCTTGCCCTGGCGGGCCGTCTTTTGCTCCTTCTGCTTCGGGTCATTTGGGGAGAGTTCGGGCTCCTTGCGACAGCAGAGGAAGGCGAACGCACGCCAGAGGAGCACGATCAGCAGCCCGGCGAGGAAGGTGAAGATGCTTGACAGCAGGAAGCACCACCATTTCCGTTCCTTGAGGCAGCCTTCTAATGTCACCGGGGGCTGCACGGTCGTCCCTTCGGTCGTCATCCCGGCGGATCTCTGCTGCCCCCGGGTCACACATTCACCGGCGACTATCACAATCACAAACGGCAGCTGCGGCGGCCAGTAGGACGCACTTTATACGCTTCATAATTTCGCGCCGCCTCCGGGAGATGCGCGACACGCGCTAAGAAGGATCCGTACACGGCTTGCTTTCGCGTCCTCACGATACGCAGCCACCACAAGCTTCTTCTTTTCCTTTTCTTCTTTTATGAGCGTGCACTCTGTTCAAAGAAAAAAATCACCGAATCTCTTCCTCTCTTCTTTCTTTATACTCTTCTGCCACGCACAATCGCTGACACCTAGACCTCGTCTTCCACTCTTATTCTCTCAACCCCCCCCCTCTCTCTCTCTCTTCTTTCACCTCTCGCACTCTTCCTTTCTTTCCCCTTCTCTTTCTCTCTCTCCTTCTTTCTCTCTTTCTTTCCCTCTCTCTTTCTCTCTCTTTTTCTCTATCTCTCTCTCCTTCTTCTTACCACTCTTTTACTGTAGTGTCTTCAATTCTAATTATTAACGTCTGTATTTGTTTGCTCCGAAAAAGTGCCTTCTATCTTGTTCACAAGCACCTTTTCTTCAAGAATCACTCAATCACCATCGTTGACTCTGACTGACGCACTACTGTCCGCGACTGACAATTCGCTATCCTCGTCAGAAGTCTACTTCGAGGCGAATGTACACGTCGAATGTACACTTCTCTGCTGAACACACGAGAATCACCGAGTACGGCGTCCTTAGCAAAGGCGCTCCGCTTTCCTATCCACGTAGCTATCACGGTACGCGCAGTAACCAATCGTGGATACCTGATCCTGATGGCCCGAGGACTTGCGCCGTGTTGATTCGTTCTTACCACCCTCGGCGGCAGCCGCTGCCGCCGCCGTCACTGATGCCGCAGGTGTGTATCGCTTCTAATTGGAGTCCGTGATTGAAAAGGATGGCCGGAGCAATACAGAGAACAGGCAGGAGACACAACTCACTGAACACTGTACTATCGCGTATCACATACGCGCGCTCGTACGAATACACAAGTACGCAAGACGAGTTCTTTCCGTTTCCACCGCGTTTATATAGCTCTCTTGTAAATCTATTTATGTATACATATATTTATACATATACAATTATACTCTTTTAATTTTTTTTACAGTATAGGTGCGTGCGTGTACGGTGCGGACGTAGCAAGCGCGGATCGCGATCGCGTACGCGAACGGAACGCGAGCGGACGATGCGCGACGACGACGCGGACGACGACGTTTTATTTTTCCTCCTTTCCTCTCCTCTTCTTTCTCTATCTCTTATATCTACGACCGCGCGCGCCCGCTCCTCTTAACCTAATCGGCTGAGCACCACCGACGGCGACGACGACGACGACGACGACGAGGACCGAATGTCTCGACGACCATACCACTGCTCCACAGCAATCAATACGCAACAATGGACCAGGACCAATAAGCTCGGAGCTTTTCCTGACGTAGACGCACGCTCTCTCGCTCTCAGCCTATCCCCTACCACCCCACGCGGCCAAACTGGTACGGCCGCATTACCTGGGGGGGCGCCGCGCGCGGCTGCGCTAAAACGAGCACGACTACTTACAGGCGCAATGGGGGTTGCTCGCATGAAGCATAACGGGGGTGCGCGCGATTATTTAACCGAAAGCTCGCCGTCTGCATTTTTGTAAAGAAAAAAATTCTAGTTCATTCCTAACATCTTATCCATTTTTGAAAACATTACTGCTCCTATACGAGAAGTAAATATGTTTATAAAAATGGAATTAGAAAATATACATCTTAAAACAAATAAATGTTAGATCACATTTTTATATAAGATATACAATTTAAATAAGATATACAATTTAAATAAGATATACAATTTTTTAGTGTTATAAGAACGCAGTTTTTTATTTGTTTATAAGTTTTTTTTTATCAATTTGGGAATATTGTAATGATTATAAAACAGTTATACTACTCAGGAACTTCTTTTATTAAAATTTTAATTTCAGTGTATAAATGCGTAACTTACATTTATTAGAATTATAAATTACATCTCTTGCTATAATTATGTAGAGATTTGTTATTTTTTTACATTAAGCAGATTTGACATAATTAAAAAAGAGATTTTTTATCATAATCCGTGATTTCAAGCTTCTCTTGATTTTATTTCTCAAGTTTTTTATAAGTATCTATTAATATCAGATGTATACAACTTAATATATAAAATAATAAAAAAATTAACTTTGCAATTCTAAAAAATTATGTAAACGCTGAAATTCATTTTTTAATTTTCTGAAAATTAATCTTCAGCTGGAACAGCGAATTTTGGATCAAACATTTAGCAGTGGCGTTATCTATCTGAAGCAGACGAGTATAATAATAGAATTAAGTTCCGATAACAACGGCAACTACTCCAGATGGTAAATTAATGCTAAAATTAAAATATATAAGATATATTGCATAATTAGTTAAACTAGGTGCACAAGTATTTTTTATATGAAGTACTTATTTAAAAGTATAGATAATATCGTTAATAAGTGAACAATTATGTATGAATACCATTTTTCAAAAATAAGCAATATAGTAATTTCCGACTAAATAATTAAAAAATTTTAATAGAAAATTTTAATTTATGTAAAATTATGCTGTAATCTTTATTGATTTTTTTTTATATTGAATAAGTTCGCAATTATGACTTTAACAACAGATGCTATTAAAGACCGACAATCTTATGAAAATTTGATTGCTAAAATCAAGTCAGTTCATAACAGAATAAGTCAACTGTTCAGATATCAGCAGTCGAGAGTTATATATCAATAATCGATAATGTTAATATTTTTTAATTACTGCTGGACTTCCGAAATTTCATTAACAGTCATAATAGATTATGAAAATCTAGAATCGTATACATTTAATATTATTTTGTTGATGAAACTTAATCAATAATTTTCTGCTACAAAATTATTTTAGTTAAAACTTTTTACGATATATATTTAAATATACATTGCTCGTCGTAATTTTAATAAATATCCTATTATAATATAAAAATTATGTTTGCGATCTGACGCATTTACTTATTATCCATCGAAAATATAGCATATTTATAATTAAACGTCAATAGCAACGTTGCTGATCTATGTCAGCTATAAAATTTGTTTTCTATTAAATCTGATTTTTTGTGTATTAAAATGGAGACAAGTTTATGCCCGTTTTAAACTGCTTGCCGATTGAATGTTAATTTTTAATATTTTCTACCATATACATGCTGTAAGTAATTAAGTCTCGCTTTAAAGAAACATGTTGCCAACAAATGGTAGGACTGCAACAGCAGTCGAGATATCGAGAGGTAAATCCATTCAAAAACAAAGTGATATGCGCGTGCGTAACATATATCATCGACTACGTGACTAATCTTGATAAACTCGTGCTTTGATTTTATCATGAGTGTCAGTTGAGATCACATAAATTATTTATTTTTTATCGCTACTTGTATATTAAATATTATATTAAACGTAAACATTTATAGCTATAATTTATAGCTAATATTAATGTGTAGTTTAAAATATTCAAAATACTTATTAAATTAATATTTACATTTAAAAGACATTTACAATAATTTATTTAATTTTATATTTAGTATGATAACAGAAAGATTTTCTGTTATTATTCTAATATTCCTGATAAATCGGCTGCTCTAACAATATTCTTTATTTCCTCATTACATAAAAGGTACACGACTGAGGTTTTATATCGTCTGCTAGCCCTTGTTTTATTGCGCATGTGAGAACATCCCTCAGCATCCCCCAATACTGGTCGAGACAGAATAGGTTATACATCGTTATTGATCAAAGACATAATATTATTTGTTGTGCAAAGAAAGCTATGAAAATATATAATATATGTGCAGGCTGTATACTTTTTATAGGTAAGTACTTATTACTATTAAATTTATTTGTATATAACAGTACAATCGTATTTAGAATATATCAATTTTGAAATGAAGTATAACCTGTATTCCATGATCCTAAAAGTTATTAAATAAATTATTTCATGTCTTGTTATAAAATAATCAAATTTGACACTTCATCAATTGATGATCTTGCATTAAAAGTCGATGTATAATAATAAAATTAATTAATATTATTGAAATAGATACACAGAATATACGTATATGAGAAAATAAAGTATTTTTTGTATACATATATTATAAAACAATTTAAACATACAAATATCTTTATATATGAAGAAATCTGTCCTAAAAATATCTATTTAATAAAATGTAAAAAGAATGATTAAAAATTTACCTATCTTTTAAAATAATATTTTTGTATAAAATAAATTTTGTAAAAAATATTTGCGTTTTACTTAAATATCCATTTTTAATTTTTTGTTGTGACTTTATGATTTTATTTTTCTTTTCAGATTGTATTTCAGATGAATGTGCAGGAATGTATTTATATAGTTTATATATAAGATCGAAAGGATGAAATATAATGAAATTAAGAAAAGATTTATATAGCAAAATTTTATAGAAACGAATCTATATATTTAAAGAAATTTAAAAGATCTGGATCTGTGCACAAAAGTACGAAGTGGGCATCTAAAAAAATCCCATGAAAGGATTTATCATTGTACTCGAAGTGTTAATGATTATCAATTCAAGAAAAATACATTTCATAGATTAAATATTTTATATGTTATGTATAGAAAATAATAAATAAGATTTTAAGTTATATTTGATAAGTATTTGCTTTTTATATTTTATATAATTATAGTCATTTAATAAAAAATTACAATATTTTTATTTGAATTACCTTTATTTCGTAACAAATAGAAATGCAGTAACATTTGAAACGTCCTGTATATAGAATGTAAGTAGTAGAAAGGTATGTATAAACCTTGAGAATAAGTTCTGTGTAAAATAATAAAATAAGATACATAAACACAAAAATCCTGAAGAGTTTTGTTACATGGATAACATCTATTTAAAAATAAAAAACCACAATTTTTTTATTATTAATGCAAACACAATACAGCTTTAAATGTAAAAGATGTTCTTTTTGAGATCCTACATAAGCTTTTACACACTTACATATAGATTTACGTGTTCAATAAGAAATATTAGAAATGTTACGTAACCGTCAAAAATTCGTTATAGTAGACTGTATCGTTAACAAGTGTTAAATAAACTCTGTTTTAAATAATTCCATGTAATGTAATTATGTAAAAATCCAATAGATTTAAATCTAAATGCTGAGTGCTTTTTATTAGACTTTCTCGTACTATTCATTGAATCGTAATTTCAATCTTTAAAAGGCTATACACCAACTAAAATCTTTTTCTATTATATAACTTACATATATAACTTTTTATCATTTTACACAGAATTTTAATAATATTTCACATATATTTTCT